CCATCAGCATACTGGCCATCCACGACCACCTCGCAAATGTTCATGATGTCAGTTGAAGTTGAGTTCTGATAAATGGTGACGTATTTGCTGGAGTGTTCAGGAGAGTCTGAACACTGGAACACAACATTGATGCTGCCCGCCTGATCTGTTTGGTTGCTACAAACGATGTTTGTCAGGTTATTCGGACTTGTGAGCTTGACGTTCAAAATATCTGAAGAAACAAATTTATTTTTTTAAGATGTTTCAATTTAAATTATTGAGCTTTTTATAAAATTTTTAAAAATGTAAATAACCAAGAACAAAAAAATTAGAATATGAAAGTTTCTAAATAAACTAACTTGTTGAAAGTTTTCCAAAAACTCGAACGTAGTCAACTTGATGCAGCCAGATGAGGTCAATTTGAATCCACTGGCTGCCTGAAGTTTGAGATTTGTAACAGTAAGGAGCGCTGTTCATCCCGTCGACCACTAAATAGGAATTAAAAGGAGCTGCCGAAGAACTTTCGCGAACCATTTTGCCCAGAGCCACGTTCGCCAGGACATTCAATACCGAGAAACTACTGACCACTACGAACACTGTCAAGATGGTAAAGACTCCCATTGCTGACAGATCTCATCTAATCGCCGAGTGAAATAAATGAGAAAAATAAATATTCCCTACATTTATTTCAAAAATTTGTTTTTTAAAACGATAAAATTTTTGAATCATGCAAATTTTGTTAAACGTGACACTGTGATTAATGGTTATTTCGTTAAAACATGTAGCAAAAAATATTGGAAATTATTGTTTATGTCATTTTATTTCAGAAAATAAAATTTTTTCAAAAAAAGCATATTAGAATAAACCATGCAAAATATCCCAACGTAACAAAAGGCAGCACGATTAATACCGTAAACGCGTGTATAATATTTTTCGATGCCCTTGCTTAAAAATATCTTCCTCGTCTCATGTTCACAATTTGACGGCGAGGCACGTTCTATTCAAATAATCAAATTTAAATTTTGATACAATAGAAGATTGAATCAAAGAAATTAGATATGATTAATGGGCTAGTCATTTTATTTCTATAGTTATTTGTATGTTTCTTCATTTGGTATATTGTATGTTTCGTTAATTTGTTGTTGCACCTAATAAAATTCGTAATTTATTGCACACGTTGTCGATTGTTTATTCGTTTGTTCGTTCGTTTGTTCGTTCATTCATTTATTCGTTAGTATATTTGTTTGCTGGTTATAATTTGTTCAAACATTCATTCACATATTCAAAACAGTCAATACGGTTTTTATTATTGTTATTATCATTGATATTATTGTTTTTATAAATTTGTTATTATTAATGTAATTGTCGTCTTTTTCTTCTTCTTCTTCTTCTTCTTTTTCTTCTTCTTCTTCTTATTATTATTATTATTATTACTATTTTCTCATTCGCCACTTTATGTAAAATCTCACTGCATATGAATTTCTTCTGTCAATGTATTTGTATGTGTGTGTGTTGTGTGTATGTGTTGTGTGTGTGTATGGTGTGTGTGTGTATGGTGTGTGTATGTATGTGTGTGTAGTGTGTGTGTTGTGTGTGTGTGCGTACGTGCGTGCGTCTGCAGGCTTGCAGCTGTTCTAAGGTTACTATGCAATATCTAATGACACTAATTAAACGTCATTTCAAATGACGCAAAGAGTTTATTTGGGGACAATTTTTAAAATTTACAATCGGAAAAAATTACCGTAATTAAAACTTCTTAATTATAATACTAACCGTTGGTAGGACACAGCATTACATACTATAGATATAGTGTGTATATATATATATATTTTTACAATATTCTATAAATTCTACCGAATGTTTGGCGTTAATATGTTTGTAGTTCGTTTTTTCGATTTTTCTCACTAAAGTTTTTTGGTGAACGTTTAGTTTATTAAAATTCAAAATAAACTTATTTTTCGAATTCATGCTGCAAATAAGGCCATATTTCGATTCCGAATGAATCATCGTCAGTGCTCCTTGTTGTATATATAGGGAAATATTGACTTTGTCAAGATTAACTTTGACATTGTAAAAATTAACTTTGGTGTTGTGAAATTGAACTTTGATGCGAATTAGGTGTCAGGTTTCTTAATTGGCTGGTCATCTTCTTTGGTCTCCTTTTTTTTTCATCGATAGCATCATATTCTTCTTTGTCACTATTTACGATGCTAGTTTTTATTACTTCTTTGTTTTCGTTGTTGGTTAAGCGCCGGGTTGGAAGTGAGGTTGTCATTTTTTGTTGTATATTTATTTTTGGTTTATTGATGTCGATTAGGACTGCTTCTGCAATTTTAAGATGCGTGTAGTTGCTGTTCTGGTATATTACTTTGGTGTTGCTGTCGAGGATTTCACGGCTAATTGTGATTGAGTGTGTTGAGTCCAAATGAGATTTGATAGCACCACTCTGTTTATGCATCGTAAGCCTTCTAGTCAGTGAGGTAGTAGTAATCCCGATATATGAGTCATGTTGACGTGCACA